AGGGAGGGAGAGAGAGAGAGAGAGAGAGAGAGAGAGAGAGAGAGAGAGAGAGAGAGAAGCTGATGAGAGAGAGAGAGAGAGAGAAACTGATTCAAAGCAAGCTATCTTTTCTTTTTCTTGAAAGCAAATCAAAACTATAGGATGCTATTTTTAACATATTTAGCCATCATCTTATTCTTTTGATCAGAAGTATTTGCTTTGACAAACATTTCATTGACTTGGGAAAATGTAGATCTAGGTGTACAAACCACAGCTTAATTGCAAGAATTTTTTTCAATGGTTCTTAAAAGGGAAGGATTGAGTCATCTCAAGCATTTCTATTCATTAGATTTCCCTTTAAGGTAAGCAGTTAAGGCGGGCTCACTGTGACAGACATTTCAATTTGTTGCCAAATATGCATGTTTTAGTGACATTAAATGTGTAACTCACTTTTTGTCTCACTACAGCATATATAGTAACCATTCCTATAATTTTATCCCCATCGTAATTTTGTCATACAGATTAGCTTTGGAGGGACTGTTTTAAGTTTGGTTCTCAGAACAATATACTCCAATTGATCTATGCTCAACTGTTCTCCAAGCACCACATTATGTCTAAACTCAGTGGAAAGCTATAACCCAAAACAGCTATCAAAAGCCACAGTAAAAAGACTTCTCAGTCAGGTAACTATAACAGACCTGAACTGATATTTCCCAATAAAGAAGCAGAGTGAATGTCTTTATCCTAGACTATTTTTCCTTTTAACTCAGTTAATTTCTCAGAATCAATACTCAATGGTTTTAAGCAGAAAAAAATGTCTCTCCCACTATCACTAACCACCTCAGTAGAACCTCTGGGTCACAACCATAATTTGTTCCATAACTTTGGTTCAAGCCAATTTGATCATGACTTGAACCTAATTTTGGAAATTTGGCACTTACAAAAAAAAATGGCACAGAAGGGGAAATCAGCGTGAATTTTTTGGTTGGAACCTGATTTGGTCATGGTCAGAGCAGGAATCAAACCCAGGGGCTGTTTTACAATCACTCGTTCAGTGTCAAGTAAACATGTGACTGACAAAAACAAGCTACAGTCTCATTCAGACTAAGTTCTCCCACTCTTGTAGTCAGGTGCATGGATTTTGGTCCTAAATTTGCACATTGGTTGGAAATTAAATTTCTATTTTCACTGTGTTTGTGAATGGTTACTAACCAAAGTAGCCATTAAATAAGAAGAGGAAGCACAGCATGAGATGGGAACTAAGTTACGGTCTAATCAACACCAGCCACATATTGAGAAACAGAAGCAGCAGAGAAGAAATAGTGCTGGAGAAATATCTACCCTGATTCCAGAGTAGGAAACAGCTGATGACATTTAACAAGGTACACCATAATCTTGTTTATCCATGCTTTAAATATTTCATATGCTGCATGCCTGCTCATGCAACGCATTAAGCCAGAAATTGAGGCATATGCTGCATGCCAGCTGAGCCAAGAGGCAAACAAGCTAACATATCTAGTTATTGGAATCAATAGAGATGAGAGTTCAGGCGGCAGCAAAAGGCGAATGCAGCTGTATGACTATAGCCAACGCCTGCCCTACGGAGAACTTGGGTCTCTATGTTCCCAAAGGAATCTGGAATCTCCACCAGCTAAAAACCTACAGGGAACCGGGCAAATGGAGGTTGTGAAGATTAAATTAGAGAGACAGTGGCATGACTAATTGCAACTGGCTGGGAATTCTGGTAACTGTAATCTCAACATCTGGAAGGGGGACAGGCTCATTATATCCCGCCATTGAAAGCTTTCCTGCAAAGCCGGGATTCGACAGGCGGGGAGAAAGAACCCGGGGGGAGTTAATTGGGTGGAAAGTCAAAGCTCTGACCAATGAGAAGCGGATCCGAGACCTCCGGCCAATAGGAGTGTCCCGCTGGATTTTAGACTCCTAGCCAATAAAAATGAAGATTCCAATTTCGATCTCTTTCACCGCCATATCGCCAGGTCTCACCCGGTCTCCGAGTCCCCTGTTCCCTGCTCAGTTGATCCCGCAGCTTCCGCAGCCATCGGCTCCGGAACAGCCGGTGGGGTGGCCTCCCCTTCGCCTCCATCCTCAGGCACTGAGGCCCCAACTCCAGCGGACGCCATCTTGCACTAGAAAACACCTCTCGTGGGATTATTCGTGCGTAATCTCGCGATAGCTATTCATCGCGAGGTTACGCCGATTCTCCTACTCCTTTTTTAAAAGGGGCAACGTCACTATCTCTTTTTTTTTTCCTTAAAAGGGCAATGCTACTTTGTTGCTGACTTGAAATTAGCAACTGGAAAAGTAGCATTGGAAATGTTATATAGAATTGCAGAACCTTTTAGCTCCCTTAATGTCTTCTATTCTTAGTTTAAACCTAATGGGAGGACTTGGGTTCACCTTAAATGGATCACTTTTAATTTCCTTAACTATCCTATCATAATATAGCAGCATATTCATAACATTGCTATAGTATATTACTGCATTGTAGCATTATTACATTGTTAAATCTATTGTATTGTAATATATTATCTATTTTTCATATGATACACAAGCAAGATTATATGCTCTCTCTATACCAATGACTGCATCTCAAATGATCCATCTATTAAACTACTGAAGTTTGCAGATGATACAGCAGTGATTGGTCTCATTCAAGACAAGGATGAATCTGCATACAGATGAGAGGTTGGACAACTAGCCTCACGGTGCAACCAAAACAATGTGGAACTGAACACACTCAAAACCATAGAAATGGCGGTAGACTTTAGGAGAAACCCTCCCATACTACCACCTCTTACAATACTAGACAACACAGTATCAACAGTAGAGACCTTCAAATTTCTAGGTTCTATCATATCAAGACCTAAAATGGACACCTAACATAAATAATGTCATCAAAAAAGCGCAGCAAAGAATGTTCTTTCGGCCCCAACTCAGAAAGCTCAAATTGCCCAAGGAGCTGCTGATACAGTTCTACAAAGGAAGTATTGGGTCTGTCATCTGCACCTCTATAACTGTCTAGTTTGGTTCTGCAACCCAACAAGACAGACACAGACTTCGGAGGATAATTAGAACTGCAGAAAAAACAATACCAAGCTGCCTTCCATTGAAGACCTGCATACTGCACGAGTCAAAAAAAGGGCTGTGAAAATATTTACAGACCCCTCATATCCTGGACATAAATTGATTCAACTCCTATCCCCATAACAATGCTATAGAGCATTGCCCACCAGAACAACTAGGCCCAAGAACAGTTTT